CGGCGGGAACCCACCTCCTTGTTCTGCTGCGTCTGCTGCCACCGCCACCTCCGCTTCAGGGCTTCCCGCTCGGCCCCCGTCCGCATCATGGTGTAGAGCGCTTTCCGCAGGACCAGGTCGCGGTCGTGGAAACCCCACATGCCTGCAGCGGGGGCGGGGACCGGGCGTGCATGAGGAGGGGGACAGGCCGGGAGGGGGCACCAGCCACCCAGACTTAATGGCGCGCCTCCCACGTCGTCTGCGCGCACAGAGCTAACCCACCCCTCACTGTTGGGTTCCTGCGATCTGCCTGCAGCGCTCCCGGCCGCCACATGCCCTGTAAATTCCCGCCTTCGTGCTTTACCCACGTGGGCTCCCTGCCTGGAATGTCCCCTTTAAAAAAATATGTATTTTTATTGAATTCAGAGACAGGGAGGGAGAGGGGGAGAGAGAGAAACATCAATGATGAGAGAGAATCATTGGCTGATTCCAGCATGCTCCTACAAGCCTGCAACCGGACTGGGCATGTGCCCTGACCGGGAATCGAACCGTGACCTCCTGGTTCATATGTCGATGCTCAACCACTGAGCCACAGCGGCCGGGCCTCTTTCCCACGCTTTCAAGTTCCTCGAGTCTCAGTAAAACCCTGCCTCCTCCAGGAAGTCCCCTTTGATTTCTCTAGATCCCCATCTGGGCAGTTCCACTCAGGCCTCCTTCTATCACGACAGGTCTTTCCTCGTGTGTTTTCTATGTCTCGCGCTCCCCACCCCACACCCCACCCCTAAACCGGCCTGGCACTTGGCAAGAACAGCGGGATTGCTGGGGACTCTTCCCGATGGCAGCGAGGCGCGTGGCTCTGCTGAGCGGTGTCTGTGCTTTCCCCATGCCCAGAGTGGGCCTGGGCGCTGGCCCCGGGCACTGTCCCCATTCCCATCGGAGGAGCTCACCCAGGGAGGCCGCGTGCAGGAGGCAGTTCCCGTCGCCCGTCGTGGCCAAAGGCAGGAGCCGCTTGCAGCTGGTGCACACCGTGGACCACCAGTTCAGGCGACCTGCGGCAGAAGCTCGCGTTAGTCTGCATTCTTTTTAAAAAATAGATTTTTATTGATTTCAGAGAGGAAGGGAGAGGGAGAGGGAGATAGAAACATTCATGAGGAGAGAGAATCATGGATCGGCTGCCTCCTGCACGCCCCACACTGGGGATGGAGCCCGCAACCCAGGCATGTGCCCTGATGGGGAATTGACCCATGACCCCCTGGTTCATAGGCTGATGCTCAACCACCGAGCCACATCAGCCGGGCAAGAAGCTCACTTCAGAACAGAGGCTGGGAGCCGGCGGCACCAGCGGGAGTGTGTTTGCTACGTTGGCATAAACCTCAGGGGTTTCCATCTTTTTAAAAATAGATTTTTATTGATCTCAGAGAGGAAGGGAGAGGGAAAGAGAGAGAAACATCAATGATGAGAGAGAATCATGGATTGGCTGCCTCCTGCACTCCCCACAACTTGGGCATGTGCCCTTGACTGAGAATCGAACCCGGGACCCTTCAGTCCGTAGGCCAACGCTCTATCCACTGAGCAACACCGGCTAGAGGGTTTTCTGGCTACTTTTTCTTTCTTTTATTTTTTAATTCTTACCCGAGGATATGCTTAGAGAGGAGAAGGGATAGGGGAAAGGAGAGAGAGAGAAACTTCGATGTGACAGACACAGCATTGGTTGCCTCCCACACGCGCCCCAACCAGGACCGGGGATAGAATCTGCAACCCAGCAATGTGTCCTTGACCAGGACTCGAACCTGTGGCCCTTCGGTGCGTGGGCGGACACTCTGACTTTTTCTTTCTTTTATTTTTTAATTCTTACCCGAGGATATGCTTAGAGAGAAGAGAGAGGGGAAAGAAGAGAGAGAGAAACTTCGATGTGAGAGAGACACAGCATTGGTTGCCTCCCACACACACCCTAACCAGGACCGGGGATAGAATCTGCAACCCAGCAATGTGTCCTTGACCAGGACTCGAACCCGTGGCCCTTCGGTGCGTGGGCGGACACTCTGACCATTGAGCCACACCAGCCAGGGCCACACCGTCTCTCCTGCTCCCTGTGGTCAGTGAGACCGGCCGCTCACCTGCCTGCTCCAGGGCCACACTGTCTCTCCTGCTCTCTGTGGTCAGTGAGACCGGCCGCTCACCTGCCTGCTCCAGGGCCACACCATCTCTCCTGCTCTCTGTGGTCAGTGAGGCCGGCCGCTCACCTGCCTGCTCCAGGGCCACCATGGTGGCCTGCTCGATCAGGTCCCGCTCAATGAAGCTCCTGAAGTCCTCGCTGTACACGCTCAGGTCCGGCAGCTGGAAGGTGTAGATGGGCATCTCCAGGGGGCACTGCTCGCTGCTGCACTCGCTGGCCACGTGGGACCGCGCCAGGGACACGATGGCCGAGCTGGCGTGGGAGATGCCTCGGGACAGGCGCTTTTCTGCAGAGGGGAAAGGGGTGGGGGGAGACGGAGGTTCTAATTCGGCTGGGACGCTGGGTCCCGGCGAACAGAATCAAACTCAACGCTCAGTCACCACAGGTCGGCGGGTTGTGAGTGTGTGTGCGCGCGTGTGCTCGCGTGTGTGACCTAATGCAACAGGAGACACATGGATTTCGTTGTGTAAATGGAAAGAATGTGAAATGATTTCAGATGCTAGGACTATAGAGTTAGACAACCCAAGCGATTAGAATCGTCTTAGTAAGAAAATTAATAATATGATGAGGGAGAATCAGGGACCCACTGCCTCCTGCACGCCCCCTACTGGGGATCAAGCTGATGGATTTTTAGAGAGAGTGGGAGAGAGAGGGAAAGACAGAGAGTAACATTGACAGGTTGCCTCCTGCACGGGCTGAGGAGGAGCCTGTAACCAAGGTACATGCCCTTGACCGGAATCGAAACCAGGACCCTTTGATCCACAGGCCGACGCTCTTTCCACTGAGCCAAACCACTGCCTCCTGCACGCCCCCTACTGGGGATCGAGCTGATGGATTTTTAGAGAGAGTGGGAGAGAGAGAGGAAGACAGAGAGGAACATCGATGTGAGAGAGACACATCGATGGGTTGCCTCCTGCATGGGCTGAGGAGGAGCCTGTAACCAAGGTACATGCCCTTGACCGGAATCGAACCCTCAGGCCGATTGGTCTATCCACTGAGCCAAACCAGCCAGGCCCCAATTTTTCTTTAGACGTTTGCTCAGAGTTTTACTTTTTCTTTTGAGTTTAAAATGGGAAACCCAGACGCTCGGAAGGGGTTCTCAGGGGACAGCCTGAGCAGGAGGCGGACTTCGGGGCTCAGGCACTGGGTGGGGCGAGACAGCTGCTCATAGTCGCTCAGGGCGGCCGTCAGGTCCCAGTTCTTGCCTGTGGACGAGAAAGGACGGGAGGTGGCCCGGCCGGCGCGGCTCCGTGGTTGCGCGTCAGCCGACCTGGGAACCAGGAGGTCATGGTTCGATTCCCGGTCAGGGCACATGCTGGGGTCGCGGGCTCCATCCCCAGCAGGAGGCAGCTGATCAGTGACTCTCTCTCATCACGGATGTTTCTCCCCCTCTCCCTTCCTCTCTGAAATCAATAAAAATATATTTTAAAAATAGCGAAGATCATGTCCCCACCATCGCCTTCTCTTACATTCTAAAGAGTCCTCGTGCCACCGCTGCCCAGTGACAGGCCTCTTCCCTTTCGCCCGGGTGGGGGGGGCTCCCGAGAGGGAGGTGGGGGGCGAGGAGGGGCCTACCTTCCAGCAGGTCTCTGGCCAGACCAGGTTCTGCCCCCGTGGACCGAACAAAGTCTGACAGGACCGCGTCCATATCAAGCGTCATGGGCTCGCGCAGGAGGGCCGCCCAGCACTCGGCCGAGGGGGGGTTGGGGAGCAGGCTAGAAACCATCCATCTGCAGGAAGGCGGGGAGCGGGGTCAGGGCGCGGCCGTGTGCCTGGGGCACGCGGAGCCCCTCCCGCCTGCTGGGGGATTTATATATATATATAGTGTTCATCCTTGTCCAAGGTTACTTTTCCATTGATTTTTAGAGAGAGTGAAAGGGAGGCGGGGAGAGAGAGAGAGAAACATCGATGTGAGAGAGACACATCCACTGGTTGCCTCCTGCACCGGCCCCAATCAGGGCCGGGGACGGAGCCTGCAACCGAGGTATGTGACCTTGACCGGGAATCGAACCTGGGACCCGTCAGTCCCGGGGCCGACGCTCTATCCACTGAGCACACCGGCTAGGTCTACTGGGACGTAGTTTTGGGTTGGGTTTGGGACAACGCCCTGATTCTCCATGTCAGACGTTAAATCATAACAGTGCAAGTCGCCAGGCTCCTCCGGGGGGCACTTTTGTGAGGTGTAGCTAGAAAGTGAGAAAACTATTGGACCTGCCCGGCCAGCGTGGCTCAGCGGTTGAGCGTCAACCTACGAACCAGGAGGTCACGGTTTGATTCCCAGTCACATGCCTGGGTTGTGGGCTCGGTCCCCAGTGGGGGGCGTGCAGGAGGTAGCCGATCCATGATTCTCTCTCATCACTGATGTTTCTCTCTCTCTCTCTTCCTCTCAGAAATCATTAAAAATATTATTTTTAAAAATAAAATTATTGGAGGAGGGGGGGAAGGGGGAGAAAATGGGAGATCTCTGTGAAACTATCAACAATAAAAATATATTAAAGAAGAAAATGATTGGACCTGATGTTTATGGCACCAACTAAGAGACTGGCTTCCTCCCTCCGTCCGTGCCCCAGAGCCTCGGCCTGGAGTCTGTTCTCTCGTCACCGCCACCTGGGGGACAAACCAGAGACAAGAGCTCGTTACTCTCCGCACCCTGGGCCTGTGGGGAAGGCGTGGCCTCTCCTCACTCCACGAGGCTGCCTGTGGGGCTCGGCCACACCGCTCCCTGCTTCCGGGGCTTCTCACCGTCCCTCGTGTGAGCCAGCACCTACCTTCCACCTTCCACCTTCCACAGCCCACTCTGCTTAACCTTCCACCACACACCACAGCAACACACTGCATCTCAGCTTTTTTTTCTTTATTGCAGTAACACGTATGTAACACGCGACTTACCGTTTCACCCTCTGTAAGTGCACAACGTGGTGGCACGGAGGGCATTCCTGCTGTTGAGCAGCCACCCCCACCGTCCACCTCCGGAATTTTTTAAATCTTCCCCAAACGAAAACCCGGCACCCACTGGACACGAACTCCCCGTCACCGCCCCGGCCCCTGGCGACGCCGTTCTGCCTTCTGGGGCTGGTGCTGACGACACTGGGAACCTCACAGAGGTGACGTGTGTCACATGTGTCCTTTTGTGAGTGGCCTAGTTAGCTCAGCATAACGTCTTCAGGGCTCACCTGCGTGGCAGCGTGTGTCAGAATGCCTTTTCTTTTTAAAAAATGTCTGTATTGATCTCAGAGAGGAAGGGAGAGGGACAGAGAGAGAAACATCCATGATGAGAGAGAATCATGAATCGGCTGCCTCCTGCACACCCTGCACTGGGGATGGAGGCTGCAACTCGGGCATGTGCCCTGACCGGGAATGGAACCTGTGACCTCCTGGTTCATGGGTCAACGCTCCACCGTGGAGCCACGCTGGCCGGCAGCCTGTGCCACCTGGCTGTGCCCACCTGCCGAGCTCACCTGGCGCCATGTTCTCCTAGGTCAGCACTGCACCTGGGCTCCTGCCACTCTGCAGCCCCTGCTCAGTCCCTCGGGCTCCTCCACGGCTACATGACCTGCAAATGACACAGTTCCCGAGGGCTCACCCTGCGACCTGTCCCGCTCACTCCCACTTCCTCCGTGGGGGAGGCTGTCAGCACCCGGGTCTCCTTACCTAAGAGTCACTGTGTGAGTTCCTGGAGCGTCGCCAACAAGCACGCCCGACTCTTCGACTTTATTCCCTCCCCCCGCTGTGCCCCCCGCCCCCCGCTGGTTGGCTCCAGAAGGGCGGCTCGCCCAGTGCCTCCTGCTTCCCTGAGAACTAGCAGGGGCAGCCAGGTCAGTGCTATGGCCGCGTGGGGTCTTTGCACTCCTCACTTCTAAGTATTCCCTCCCCCACCCCACCCCCGTGCTTTTCTCCTAGAATACTTGCTTTTGGCTACTACCCCATTTTATTTTTTTAAAAATACGTTTCTATTGATTTTATTTGAGAGAGAGAAGAAGGGGGAGAGAGAGAGAGAGATAGAGACATCGATGATGAGAGGGAATCATGGATCGGCTGCCTCCTGCACGCCCCCTACTGGGGATGAAGCCCACAACCTGGGCATGTGCCCTTGAGTGGAGTGGAACCCGGGACCCTTCAGGCCACAGGCCGACGCTCTATCCACGGAGCCACACTGGCCAGGGCCATGGCAGCCTTTGGAGCTGAGGCCGAGCATGAGGGAGCTTCCATGGTGAGAAGCTGACTTTGGCTGCTGCTTCGAGAGCAGATGGTCGAGGGAGGGTGGGGAGTGGGTGGCAGGAGAGGCGCGAGGCGATGAGTCAGGAGGCCATGGGCTCCTGCCGAGGGAGGGGGATGGTCCGGGTGAGGACGGCAGCCGTGGGGTGGTGAGAAGTGGTTGAGCTCTTGACATATTTCCCAAAAGCTGGTTTTTTACAGGCATGAAAAGAAGGCAATAAACAAGAGGGGCAGAAAGCAGATGTGAAGCAAGGAGCAAGCCCAAGATGAGATGGGTGGATCTAACCTACATGTGCCACTAATTAAATTAAATGTAAAGACACCAGATGCTCCAGTTAGAAGCGATAAATTGGCAGACTGAGGACAGAAATTCACCAACACTGTGTCTGTGGAAGATGTCTGCAAGGTACAGATACAGAAAAGGTGACATTTAAAAGGCAGGTGCCCGGCCGGCGGGCTCCGTGGCTGAGCATCGACCTATGAACCAGGAGGTCACAGTGCGATTCCCAGTCAGGGCACATGCCTGGGTGGCGGACTCGATCCCCAGTGTGGGGCGTGCAGGAGGCAGCCGATCCACGATTCTCTCTCATCACTGTTGTTTCTCTCTCTCTCCTTCTCCCTTCCTCTCTCACATCAATAATTTTTTAATTAAGACGGTGGGAAAGGAACACACTATGCAAATTGCAATCAGCAGAAAACTGCGGGGGCCGATCACTGTCAGACAGAATAGGCTTTGGGGCCGAGGGCATTCACCGGTGATGAAGAGCACTGCTTCATAATAATAAAATCACACGTCATAGGAGCAGGGACAGAAAAGACCTGAACTTGCCATTGACACACTTTACCCAAAGGACATATAGAATTTTATACTCTCAAGAGCTGACGACTACCAAATGTTTTCAGTGCACATGGAACACTTATAAAATATTTACCAATTGAGCTTTTCTATGACAATGGGTGGCAATATAGTACTTACGTTATTTAAAAATAAAAAAGTTATTGTATTTTGGGATGTGAAGCATATCACACAAAAGTCAAAGGGTTAAATCACACACACTATGTTCTCTGGCCATGCCACAGTTAGGTTAGGCAGATAACTCAGCAAATCCCCGTACACCGAAAAAACTTAGCACACCCTTCTAAATACCTCGTGAGACCTGCTTCCAAATAACACAGGAGGTTGGGGTGGAGTAGGTCAATTGGGGGGGGGGGGAATGGGTACACCTGTAATACTTTCAACAAAAATTAAGTTAAAAAGTAAAAGAAAAAGCTAAGATCTGGAGTCTTTAAGCAACACAAAGAAACGCTCAAACGAGAATGATATTTTAATGGAAACACTTCCTTATCTTCAAGCTTCGGTCTTACCTGTTTGTTGGTTTTCTGCCCAGTGAGGGCTTAGGTATGTCCCCAGGTCAATGGACAACAGACTGGTGGCCAGGTAGCAAGGTGGGTGGGGGTGTTGCTCACCCCAAGGAGCAACGGTAATGCAAGAACAGGGGACAGCCGAGCAGAGGGAGAAGAGAGAGGCATGCATCTAATGGAGGGTCTTCACCCTCCATGCCTGTCGCAACAAACCCAACCTCACCACGGAAACCACGCCCATACCCCACCTCCTGCTCCTTCCTGTCTAGGGCAGAAAAGCAGGTGGGGTCCCAGGCCCTGAACCCATAGATTCTGTCCTTGGTGCTGAATATACACTGTCTTGGTTGCTGGATCTACAAGCCACTGAACTAGGGGCTGAGTCCAGACACTGTCCCAGGTGCTGAATCGACAGACAAGCCCAGACCCTGGACCATGAGCGCTGTCCCAGGTGCTGAATCGACAGACAAGCCCAGACCCTGGACCATGAGCGCTGTCCCAGGTGCTGAATCGACAGACACGGTCCTTGGTGCTGAGTTCACGCTCTCCCAGGTGCTGAAGCCACAGGCCCCTGTCCTAGCTGCTGAAACTATAGGCGCTGCCCCGGGTGCTGAGTTCACAGGCCGCTGTCCTAAGTGCTGAAACTATACCAGTGGTTCTCAACCTTCCTAATGCCGCGACCCTTTAATACAGTTCCTCATGTTGTGGTGACCCCAACCATAAAATTAATTTATTTTTTATTATTTATTTATTTATTTATTTATTATATATTTTTTTATTGATTTTTTTTACAGAGAGGAAGGGAGAGAGATAGAGAGTTAGAAACATCGATGAGAGAGAAACATCGATCAGCTGCCTCCCGCACCTCTCCCACCGGGGATGTGCCCACAACCCAGGTACATGCCCTTGACCGGAATCGAACCCGGGACCCTTCAGTCCGCAGGCCGACGCTCTATCCACTGAGCCAAACCGGTTTCGGCCATAAAATTATTTTCGTGGCTACTTCATAACTGTAATTTTGCTACTGTTAAATGAATCGTCATGTAAATATCTGATATGCAGGATGTATTTAGGCGACCCCTGTGAAAGGGTCGTTCGACCGCCAAAGGGGTCGCGACCTACAGGTTGAGAACCGCTGCTATAGGCACTGACACAGGTCCTGGATGTAGAGACACTGCCCCAGGTGCTGAGTCCACAGGCCACTGTGCTAGGTGCTGAAACTACAGGCACTGACACAGGTCCTGGATCTATAGACACTGCCCCGGGCGCTGCCCCAGGTGCTGGAACACCAGGACACTCCAACTGGCGCAGCTATGGCCAGGGTTCTTATCCTTCCGTTGCCAACGCCTGGGCAAGTTAGTTAACGTCGACTTCTGTAAAATGAGGATGGAAACGACACCTTCCGCGTGTGGTTACTGAGGAGAAGAGATCAGAAAATGTGTGTGACGATGTCAAGGGTGCCTGGCCCAGAGAGAGGATGTGGTAGAGGCTGGAGCTCACTGTATCCCGACTCGTGCTACTGGCCCTGCTGCCCCTGGAGCGTAACGGTCCAGCGGACACTTCAAACAACTTGAGGGATACATGCCAACCAGGGCCGGGAACAGCCCTGGCCGGTGTGGCTCAGTGGATAGAGCGTCGGCCTGCAGACTGAAGGGTCCCGGGTTCCATTCTGGTCAAGGGCACATGCTCAGGTTGTGGGCTCAATCCCCAGTAGGGGACTTGCAGGAGGCAGCCAATCAATGATTCTCTCTCATCATTGCTGTTTCTATCTCTTCCTCTCTCTTCCTCTCCGAAATCAATAAAAAATACACGTTACTACAAGCACAGCTGACTCACCAGTGACCCTTAGGTGGGGTCATCCATGTGCCTGACCCCCCAAAACAATGGCTAGATGCTCACTTGACACAATTGCAAATTTATACACTGCCAAGTGGTTTGAGATATTTTAATGGAACTCACATAAATAAATGCCTCAGATTTCTATTTTATACAAATCCAAAAACGGGGGAGAGAGGGCCAGGGCCAGCTGAAAACACAATAGACACAGATTGGGCGCTGCAGAGGGGGATGCTGGATTTAACCGCCCGTCTCAGCCCTGCCATTAGGAGCAATTTAAATTACATTTGGTGGAAAAGATAATAGTATTTCAGGTCAGGGAGAGACAGCGATGACTGCAGCCAGGACAGCAGAAATGAGAAGAGGCGGACAGAGTGGCAGACATTTGAGAAAATGAGCTATGGAGACCTTTAGATTGATTAGACGTGGATGTGGGCTGATGTGTGTATGTGTGTGTGTGTGGGGGGTAGCCTGTTATGTGGTGTGTGTGTGTGGGATGTGTGTGCATATGTGTGTAGCATATGTTGTGTGTGTCTGTGTGGTGTGTGTCTTTGTGATACACCATGTGTGTTAGTGTGTTTATGTGTCTGTGTGGTACAGTATATGTGTGTTTGTATGTGGTACAGTGTGTGTTTGTGTTTCCATGTGGGTGGGCTGATGTGTGTATGTGTGTGTGGGGGGGTAGCCTGTTATGTGGTGTGTGTGTGTGGGATGTGTGTGCATATGTGTGTAGCATATGTTGTGTGTGTCTGTGTGGTGTGTGTCTTTGTGATACACCATGTGTGTTAGTGTGTTTATGTGTCTGTGTGGTACAGTATATGTGTGTTTGTATGTGGTACAGTGTGTGTGTGTGTTTCCATGTGGTACAGTGTGTGTGTGTGTTTCCATGTGATACAGTGTGTGTGTGTGTGTTTCCATGTGGAACAGTGTGTGTGTGTGCACATGCACAATGTGAGGAGACAGACACAGAAGTAGGGGATCAGGCAGAGTCTCTGCGCTGATATGAACCGCCCTGGCCCAGATCGAAGGCCGCGCGGTGGCCCATCGGCCCTCACAACAATGGCCGCGCTGTCCTTACTCCAGAGCGGGGACCTGGACGCAGCGAGGGCCGGCCACCTGCCCCACGCTGTCACTAGCTGGGGG